GCTGTGGGGTGTCGCCGTTGCCGTCACGTCGGTTCGGGCGCTCTACCTTCGGTCACCATGCCCCGACTACTGCGTCTACGCGTCGGCGCCGTGGTTCACCACCGAATGCAACTGCATCTACGCGCTTCTCAATTGCCGCGAATTAGGCATCGAAGCTGAGGAGAGCGTCGACGATCGCTTTCATGCGTCCATTGTTGGCCCGAACCTTGTTTTCCTGCATGTGCAGCGCTGCGCTGTCCCGAACGGGCTCGCGCTAGAAACCATTTCGCAGTTTCAGAGCCTGCATTCCCTCAAGCTTGAAGTGACGCAGTTAGTGCGATGGGACGTCGCAGGAACCTCGCTTCCGTCGACACTGATGCTCCTTGATGTGCGCTACAGCCGTCTCACGTTCGTTCCGCGTATTATGCGCTCCATGCCGCCGTCCGTGCGCTGGCTTTTCTTCGTCGGGCACCCCCAGCTGACGGACATTTCCAGTGATGTCTATGCGAATTGGACCAACCTTCTCTCGCTCTGGCTCGGCGATAACGCGCTATCGCACGTACGACCTACGGACATAGCACAATTGACATTGCTCCAGATTGTGGATCTGAGCAACAACCAGATTGCAGCCATTCCGGAGGCAGATTTTGGCAATCTTCCGATGCTTCGAACGCTCTACCTGCACAACAATGCCATTCGCGTGTTTCCATCGACGTTGTTGCAAGTCAAACCGAACCTCGTGCTCACGCTCAACCACAACCCGATCACGACGATTGCAGATACCGTGGGTCTCTCGGTGCACATTGCATCGACGCCGTTCTGTGCAGCGACGACGGCGTCAGCATGCTATGACGACTGCGCGCCGAGTTGCGGCCGACTCTTTGTCGGAAATTACCTCTGCGATCGCAGTTGCAACACGACGGCGTGCGCCTTTGATGGTGGCGACTGTCATTTTTAGCGCCACGATAACAACAAATAGCAGCTGCATTCGCCAATCGCGCGCGACTGGATAAGCCCAAGACACCAACGGGGATGTTGCCAAGGGACGTGTTGTCGCTGACGAGCCGCAGCTGCGTTTGACGAGCGTGATGGGTCCATTGGCAAGGCAGCGAGCCACTTTCAAGAATGTAGAAAGAACTCGAGTTACGCTTGATCCATCTCATATCCTATGCTACTATGGCTTGACTCAGACGAGGCGTGGTCGTCGTCCGCCGCATTTCGGCGTTTACACATTGACTGAGGTGAGTCAAGAGTACATAAATAACTTCAATTTATGTACTCTTGGGTGGGTCTAGCTGCAGCACGTGTCGGCGACTTGTGCGCATGCAAAGTCGTCACGATGGCGTCATTGCTTGTAGCCACGAACTTGAGTTCATCTCAAACTGCATGATGCGTGGTCCGTTGAACGAGACCGCTTGAGAAAAACCAGCTCTTAAAACATTTGCTACAGTCTACGGCGAGGTTGAGCCACCAACGCTATATTAAAAGAGACAGTCGCCACCGTCAAAGGCGCACGCTGTCGAGTTACACGCCGTGTCGCAAAAGTAGTCGGTGACGCGGCCGCGGCTACAGACGCTCGCGCAGTCGTTGCCGCAGACGCCTTGCAACCCACTTGTCGTTGTCGTATTGCAGTAGAGGGTGTTGGTCATGTCGAGTCGGTCCCATGCACAGCCGTCGCTGCCCCAGGACGGTATCGGATTTCGGTTCAAATACAGCCGCAGCTTGGGGTATGTCGATCGAAACGACAGTGGCAACACAGAGAGCGCGTTCTGGTCCAAGTACAGCTCGGCCAAGTGCGGCATGATGGCATCGAGTTCGATTGGAAGCGCGGTCAATGCATTGTAGCCGAGGTCGAGGGACGAGACGATGGAAAGGGCGCCAATCTCCGGAGGCAGCGTGGTCAAGCCCGTCGCGGGTAGCCGCAGCGAGAGCAAGTGGGTCCACTTTTGAAACACCGCACCCGATATGCTCGAGAGCGGACACTCGCCCACGTACAGAAACCGAAGCGTCGGTGGCGGTGCCGATAACATCTCTGGCAGTGACGTCAGGTGCGGTGCGTGGCGAAGATGCACGAGCATCGTCGACGATGGCAGCGCGAGAGCGGTCACGGGCCACTCCCGCATCGCCGTGTGCTCGAGCCAAATACCATAGAGGTATAAGAACTGCGCGGTCGTCGTCGCGTTCAAGCCATGGGGGATGTCGCATCGCTGCACGTGCAGAAGAAAGAGGTCGGGTCCAAGGCGCGCCAGTGTAAAGTACGAGTCGATGGACCGGCTGTCGACAACGTGGTCGCGGACGCAGTGGAGACGGGCGTAAATGCAGCGGCAGTCGCTGGTAAACCAAGGCGCGGCCGCTTGTTCGCAGTGGGACGGGCACGGTTCGCGGTGAAAGACTGCGAGCGTCGCCACAAGGAGGACGGCGCCGCCCCATAAAAGTCCGAGGACGAGCGCGGCGAGCACGACATTCTGGTGCTCCTGCTCCAAAGTAAAGTGATCTTTACTCGCTTCCCACGCCACTTTGGCGACTCCGAACGAAACCGAACTGAGCCGCGGCATCGACGAGACGGAGAGGTGACGACGCGACCCGGAGTGAGCGCGCAGTGCGTCCGCGAGCTGGAGGGTGGCGAAGAACCGGTGCCGACCCCAGCTTCTGGTGCGCAGCAGCGGCCGTGGGGTACTCCTCTTGGGATGGCGAAGCCGCCTCAGCACAAAAAAGTTGGTGACGCCCAAGATGGTTTTGATGGCCAAGTCCAAGCCCGACGAGGTCACGAGCAAGCGTGACGGAGGCACGTTTAGTGCGAGCCAGTCAAAGCTATGGCGCACGTAGGCATTCCCAAAGAACCGATACTGCATGATGGGCACGGCGAAGAAAACAAGCGGAAACCCCGCCGTCAAGGCCGTCGACATGACGCAGTCGATGAGCCCGATGAGCTGCAGCTTCGACTTGGCGCGCTTGAGCAGCAGGAGCCACGACGTGCAGAGACAGTTGATTCCGAGCGTAATCGCGTACAAGTACGCGACCTCGGTCTGCGCGAGATAGCGCGCCATTTTATATGCCAGATTGGTCTCGCAGCTGATGGCAACAAAGTGGTTGAGGCACACTTGAATATTGTCGGGCACGGGCCACCGAGCTGCCCAGTACTCGAACGAGCAGCGTGACGTTGGTAGTGTCGGAATAGGGTCGACGCGAGCCGTTCGGAACGAGCACAGAGGGTAGAGATGCAAGAGCGCGATGGTGCCAAAGATGATGCCGCTCGGTAGCATCGCGTAGCCGTTGAGCGCAACGACCTCCCCATCGTTGGCGACGAGATGAATGATCGAGAGGAAGCCAAAGTAGAGGCACGAGATGCCATGCATGAGTCGGAGGAGGCCGCGCCACGCCCAGCTCGATTGCAGAGCCATCTAAAATCTTAAGTTAGACAGGCCATGTCCTGGATGTCGAAACCGGCGACCGTTTCAACGTCACAGTATTTGCACAAGAATTTATATACCGGTACTCGTAATGGTAATAAACCGCCTCCACAACCGGTTCACGTGTCACTCCCGCCCAGGGGTACATAATAGTTATTTTTTTATTATGTACCCCTGCTCCCGCCTCGACAGCACCACCAGTGATGCGGGATATCGCCGCTTCGTTCGCATCGCACGTCAAACTCGCCGTGGGAGCAGCTAGTTCTCACAAATCCACCCGTCGGCTGCACGTGCAGAAAAAGTGTCAACACCGGCGTCACTCTTGCCCTGCCCATCATCGATCAATGCACATGGTCGACGTCATCGCGAGGATCGCCAGCGCAGACAATGGTCACCGACGAGACAGGTTTTCATCCGAGTCCATCAGTCGGAGCGCAGCCTGTTCGTCGCTGACCTCGTGGATACCGGAGGTGGTTGTCGTTGAGACCCATAGCTTTTAAGGATGGTTTCTCGCGGCCTAGGACTTGAACCGCGCGCAGCTACCACCATGATCGTGCTCTTGGTAACGTTAGAACGAGGTCACCTTACAAGATCTATGTCGCGGCGACATCGATCTCGTACCTGGTATGCGACGATGGTCGTTTCAACAACGTCGTGTCGGAGCATGGGAAGCATCCCTGCGTCTGAAATGGCTAGCGACTTGATGCTGTCGGAAGATGCAAAATGCACTCGACCTGCCATTGCGCTCGAGGGATGCAGACGCTGGGTAGGTCGAGTGTCGTGATGGTCGTCCAGCTGTGCAATCTCGTCGTTTAGATGACCGATGAGCGTGCACAACCAACTAGGTAGAGAAAGCACTGCTTGTAAGCTGTTGATGACAGTGCGCAGTTGGTCAAGTGCTCGCCGAACAAAGAATCGTTGGAGGTGTTGGCGTTCGTGCACGAGCGTTGTTTACGTAGGCTTGGGTTCGGCATGGCGTTTAAGGTAGCTGGTGGCGTTGGTTGTGATGTTGCTACATCGGAAATGGGCTGACGCTATGCAGGACAGGTACCTTATCGACGCTGGAAAGCTCTGGCGTGCATGGAACGAGCG